GTAGAATTCCAGTGGAATTTTTTTTCAAAAGTACAAATTTGGTTGATTTTTGAAATTTTAGAAGAATGGTTTACGAGATGTGTAAACGTGGTATGAAAATCGATGCATTCGTTAATGCCGCATTGATATATTGCTTTGCGATGCAAGGGAATTACGCTAAGGCTGATTCACTTTTCAGTGTTAGTTTTTCTCTTGGTTGGGTAATTTTCATAGAAAAATTACATTTTCTGTTTCATTCATATGAAAAGAAATTTGCGTACAATTAGAATATTACAATGATTTACAGTTTACAATTACAATTATTCATAACAAGCGAGTCAAATTTGCCTGTCGTAATTTATTGGTTTTATTTCAAAGAATGTCTTGAAGTTGTTCACTTGCAGCAATCAGTCAAAAAGTATCACGATCAAGAGCTGATACCACAGTTTCATTCAGCCTATATCAAAGCGGTTGCAGTTCGCCAAGATCTTGATCAGTTAGCGAAAGTTATTGTTTATTCATTTGTTTTTGAGATTTTACGTGGGATAATGCAATGAGAAGAAAAGAAATTGAGTGAGTTTTTGAAGCCTTTTAACTGAATGTTTCAGGTGTTACGTTCCGCGATTGTATCACAACCCGACGAAACAACCACTAAGAAACGATATACACTTAACGTTCCATATGAAACTATCTTCGAAACGATTTGGATACTAGGAAAAGGATGCTCGAGTGGTAGAAATATGTGTCATGAAAATATTTCTACGCAGGTATCTTTTTTCATTTGTCATTTTTTAAAATTCCGATGTATCATTTTGCATTGCTCATTTTATCTGATAAAAGTGACTTGCATTATTAGGCATAAGAATGATCTCGATGTTTTGAATTGGTGTCGTTTCATTCTTTACTGTTGGTGACACTTCTGAATCAATGGGAAATGAAAGTATACTTTGAGCAATTTCAGATGTTAGAACATACGAGTCGTCGTAGAGGATTCTTTAAATATTTGTATCGAGAGACTGAAAGGCACATTGCGCACGGCAATTATTATTGTGCTGCGTTACTGATCGAAGAAGTGAAACGTTTGCGTGACTGCTTGGAGAATCAGCAGAGAACAAGTACGTTCGTGAGAATATTTGTATTTGCAGTGATATATTGTTGCATGCTTACTTTATTCTACAAATGTAATAATAATAGCATGATTAGTGAAAGTATTGAATATTTTAATATCAACATCGAGTGGTTCGTATGTAGCGATATTTTCTGAATTGAAACGATTGTCGAAACGGTGAATAGCAAATTAATTCATTTCAGTATTTTTGAAGCAGTTAATGACGCGTTTCGGTAACCAAATGGTCGTAAATAAGGCATCTGCGGATGAAATGAAAAGGATCGCCAATCGAATAACCACTGGACTTGGGCACAGGTGTGGATTGGTGTTGTGTTGACGTAAATTGTTCGAATGAAGAAGTTTGAATNTGAATTGCAGTGTTCGTTTCGCGGATACGTTACTTTATTCGATATTGACGTGTCGTCATATGAATGCTGAAGCGAAATTCGATTATTTCAATGAATTAATCAATATGGTTGATGAGTCACGAGAAAGGATCCATTTAATCTTACCACTTTTGGCTTGGTTCGTTGATTTTACCACTTTTCAGTTTGTTCGTAAACTTTAAGTTATTTAATTTGTTCCGTTGATTTTATTACTTTTAACTTGTTTCGTTTATTTTTTCGCTTTCAACTTGGTTTTTATCTCTTTATATTTCATTGCAATAGTTTTTGTTTCGTAAAGGCTTCGAACTGATCAGATAAGAGAACAAATAAGTATTCGACAATAGAAATAAGCATTTTTGTTGCAGTTGTGAATCCCTGCAAGAACGTTTGAAAATATTTTTTCGTTGTGCTTCAATTGGTTATAAGGATATATCCGAACTGGATATTCGGATGCTCTCCAGATTGCTACTGAATCCGATGTTCGGTGCGTTCTCTTTCAAACTTTTTTTGCGAACGGTGGATTGAGATCTATTTTGAGCAGGATTTTCAAATCAGTGAATGTATGGCCAATTCGGCTAATCTGAAGCATTTCTATCTCATCCATTTGTTTCAGAATTTCCATTTTTGTGTATCAAATTAGTTAGCGAACAGTCNTTGCAATTCGATTGTTCAATAAATGAAACTCACAAATGTTGACGGAAAGTTTTATTTTAAGAATTTCATTCATCGAAAGCACTCTCGGAGAACGCCACATTCGATCGTATGTCAAAAGTGCTGAAAAGCTATTCAATAGCGCCCGAAGTCACCTGGAAGTGTATTATGAATTGGTGGAAACTTAAACGAACCTCAGATAGTGGTTATTATATAGCAGCGAATGAAGTTGCAATGCAAAAGTAAGCAGTTTGAGTTGATCTTAGCTGTTTGAATAAATGAATATCTCAAATATCATTATAGAAGTTGCAATCTGTCGAAGTCGTGTACGTGAATGACTGTAATGCAATTTTGAATTGTTTCTTTAGGACTGCAATGCCAATTTTCGGATTTTTTACTTCATATGACTGATCAAATAAATTTTTAGTTGGCTGAAATCACAATATGACACGCTGTTCGCTCCGAAAAATTCCTCGTCCACATCGTATTATGATGGCGATATGTCACTGCAAAAGTTCATCAGTTTCATTAATAAAGAGGTAATTCGTTGAATCTGTGGACTTCTTTTTTTTGGAATTTGATATTTAAAGTGGGTGTTTTGTTGTGATGTGAGCACTGCTGTATTATTCAAAGTTCCGTTGAGTGTTTCAGGACGCAGAAAAGGTGCATTTATTTTTGAAGCTTTATGGCTTTCCGGACGAACTTGACTATGACCAATATGTTCCGCGTTTATTGGAAATTTATTTGCATAATCAAGATTGGACATCTTTAATGAGTTTTCTTCATATGTTGTAAGTTGGATTTTTGTTGTCCAATATTAATGTTAACATTTGTTCATTCTCTCGGATTGATTTCGATAGAATAGTGATTATTGTTGGTGTGGATTATTTTTGGATGTTTGTGTATTTATTAGCGTTTTTATTAATTTGTTAATTGGTTCGTTTACATCAGATCAAATCGTTGTGCGCCTATCATTGTTCAGCCATTCGCTGTGAAGTGTTAATATGTGTATTTGATTTTGAGGTCGTCTTCATCTAGTCAAAACAAAACATGTTTGAAGAATTATCANGTATTGCAAATATTACGAAGGCACGTCGCCGATCATTCCGATATAAATTCGTCAATTGAATTCGCGTACGATGTGCGACGATTGTTTCCCGACGGTTCGTCAAGAATTGCATTCGTTATGAAATTCGGTGTTGTGCGATGTTGATGGAAACAATAAGAGTTGCAATGATGCAAACACAATAGACACTCATATAATATAACAGTTTCAGCTATATTCCAAAAGGAGAATTTCTATCACTCGATAGTGGCAATACAGAGTTTATTCGCGGCATGTTTGGAAATACCGAAACTTCAAATTGAAACGATAACGCAAAGTATGGATTTGTTGAGGACGATCATCAAATTGGATTTGTTCGATTTACAACGCGAAGAAACAATATCGGATCAATTTGTTCGCGTTGTTCTGATTAGGTATTGTTGTATTTCATTGGCGTTGCTAAAACTATATTTTCACATAGGTGCTATTCGTTATCACATATAACACATTTCCTTCAATCCATCTCCAATCATTCTCTTAAATTCAAACTAATAATTTTCGGATAGTCTTGAAAATAAAAGTCCTGGAGTGTGTGTTCAAAAGAAGAAAGGACAGATAACGTTGAATGTCAGTGTTTTAGTAAGGACAGATAACGTTGAATGTCAGTGTTTTAGTAACATCAATTATAAAATTTTGTTGTCATTGTTACTG